AAAACAACCTTGGCAAACCCATGATAACTATTTACTTTGTTATATTTCTGTTTGTCCTTAAAGAAAATGTTCTTACTAAAATACAACTGAGAAAGAAAGAATGAACAATGGGTTCTTTTACAAATATATGAAGCTGCTAAAAAGAAACAAGATAATACTTTCCTGGCATTATACTGTAATCTCTCATGAAAATGACTTCCTTTTAAAAACAAATAATCGCTACACATAGACTGCACATTCCATTACACATTTTATAAATATGATATTTGCAACTTGTTTCCCATTCAAACATAATCATCTTCTGGAACATTTTTGTGGGTGTTACCATTTTCTTTTTCACTCTCCTGTCAAGCTGATCCAATACCAATTCAGTAAGGTTAGATGGCTGACAAAAGGTAAATTTTTCCCAAAAAAATATTTTTGGGGTTGCTTGTCTGAGGATTTTACATTGTTAAAATATTTGAAATTGGATTAGACATCTAAACATAAATTAGAGATATTATAGATATAGGTTTTTCTGTGCTGATTTATTCTGTGTTGTATTCTAGTCACAAAGCACTGAACACTGTATAAAACATGAATTGACCCATCAGCAAATGATTAATTTAATAAATAACAGGAAACCTTTGGACAGAATGAACTAGAGTATTTTACACTTAATCTTACATTTCAGATATTATATGTAAAGGAAAAGCATATAACATCTGTTTCTATTCTTTAGTGACCAGAAAGTAAGTTATAATGACACCTTGTTTTTCATTTTTTGAGTTTAGACTTTTTAGAAATGTGCAACAAATATTTGCTTGCATATATAGTGTATGATAATAATGATAAAGCATTACAACTTCATACTCACCTATCCTTCCATAATGCAAGTAAAATTTACTTTGTGTGGGTGGTTAAACAACACAAACATAATTAGATCCACTACAGTCAATGTCTTCTCACTCAGATGTTTTTTTAATGTAATTTGCATCTCAATTACATTTTTCAGGAATAGCCAGTTCATGCTGCACCTTGTTTTCTCAAATCTAGAGATATGCATTATTTTTTTTCAGCATTGGACTTTTTAGGCACCTGTCTTGCTATAAATTAATGTGTACAGTATGTCATATTAATGTATGTTAAATGTCCATGAAGTTCTTTGTTAATTATTGGTAGTTCATTAACACACAAGGATGTAGAAATCATTTTACACTTTGTGATTGGATGTCACAAATTTTGTATAAAACGTATTAGTGGTAAAACATTTTCAGTAGGATTAATACATTGTAATTCACTCTGTTTCGGATATGTACAGTATGCTTTTAAACTTGTGTTTTAGTAGCAACATACAGTATATTCAAACTATTCTTGCTAATATTATACATTCTACAGATGTAGGAAAAAACATTTAAAAAATCATATTTGTGTGTTTCTCGAAGACCATGACTTAAGATTTCTGCTCCAGCAAAATAATTTAAAGGAGCTTATATCGTAATAGTCTTGTTTGGCTTCTGGTGAGAACAAATGTAGGAGATTGAAATAGTTCCTGCTATTTCGCTTCCCTTGATCTGCAAGGAGAAATAATATCTCTCCTGGCACCTTTATTAGGGGACAGACTTCAGTTTTGCTTTGAAAAGTCCGTTCTTTCTTTGATCTTCTTTATGAATACCATGTGCAACGTATAAGCTAGTAAATTCAACATTTCTTTTAAAGAGGCGTAATCATTATTTATGTTTAAACGTAAATGTTAGGTAATTAACGTTATTGTGCAAACACACTGAAATACCTCGTCTGTAAAATAAATAATAATAATTCCAGAACGTCGTACTTTGTGCGTCGATGAATGATTTTATTCATCTGTCAAATTTACGTTTTGGGGAAAAGAAGAACAGAAACGATAGACAACCTAATAGCAATTCAAATGAAAACGTTTTTTTCCCTGAATTTATATCTTTATTTATTAATGTAGCGCCTATAGTACTTTATTTTTAGCAGTAGAAGTCTGAAATAAATAATTTATTCTGTTTAGTAATCAACGCTTTCAAAATTAAACATTGTATTACTTAAATTAATATTGTTAAATAAAATAGTTGAGTACAATTCTAACAACTGTGGTACTAAAACACTCTACAAATAGCACATATAGCACAACCAAATACTTCTGCAGTATCTCCCAAATTTATTTTACTTAGTCATTATCATATAATTAATTGATTAATCAATACAAAGTATATCACAGTGAATGATTATATTTGCTTAAGACAGTTCATGGGTTGATAGATGATTGGTTTGAATGTAAGTCTTCGTCTTTTGGAGATTCAGCGATTGGCCAGTTCGGGAATAAGAGCAAAGCTTGTTATGAGTATGGCCTACTGCAACCGTAAAAAGCGCTAAGAGACACTGCTGATTGTTTTAATTAAAAATCTTTACTCTTTCTATTGCTGTAATAAAATGTATTCTGAATAGACTTTCCTAAATAGAAGTACGGTGACCTACAGTAACTGAATTTCATCATTTGAATTAAAAAGTTGGTTGTACTCCTGAGGAAGGTGATTTGACTCTGGTCAATTTTTATGTTAACAGGAACAGTGGAAATCAATGAAGCAATAAAATGCTTTCAGATTGGAAAAAAAAGTTTCAAGCAAGAGGGAGCTGTTCATAGATTGTTCCAGCTGTCTACTACCGCTGTCACAACAACTTTGTCTTTCCTATTTAATGTTTATATTTTGCAAATACAATAATATTGGTAAATAGAATGCTATGTTTCAGATTATTTGACTGAGAAAGTGAAAACCACTAATCAGCTAATATTTCTGAAATTTGGCGATTCAACGTGTTGAATGTAATAAAATACAATGTCAATAATTGTTAATGATCAAACAGAGAACGCGAAATTTCAATGCTAATAAACTTTGACCTTCATCTTCTGTAAAAGTTTTTTTATGTAAAATATATATTTTCTTATGTCCTGTCATTCACTGTACCATTACGGATTTACCAACACCCCCAGCAATTTTGTCGTAACCTATCAAATAATTATATAATAACTTCAAAGATTTTTGTTTTGCACAAGAACATATATCACATTTATTTAAATTGTATATTATCAGAAGCCTTTTAAGCATTTAAAGTATTTCAATACTTTATTATACCCCTCCTACTACCGTCTTTACTGGTTAAGCGACCAGCTTTTGTTTGTTATGCAAGGCGCTTGTATTTCACCTTACTCTGCTTCCAATCAAACAGAGGTGGGTGAAGTTCTTTTCATGTTTTCAAAGGCGGCTGGTGAGCTGTTTTACAGAAACAATAACTCCTTTTATTGAGAACAAATGTTGACATTTGAAGGGAGCAGAGAAAGGCAGAGTCTATAAGCAGCCCAAAGTGGAAACCGCCTCTGGTACTATTTGACAACAGCAGCAGTTCCCCGGGGATCCCACCTGAGATTAAAGCTTGAATTTCAATAAATCAGCTCTAATGAAACCTCTCGGACTGGCGATGGGATTGTTTGTCTTTCCAGTTTGAATCAGCGATCTACAAAGATGTTTGGACTTGGAAGAAAAGTTTAAGGGGATGGAAACCCCAGAGACGAGTTAACATTCATCTTAAACACGATTTGAATAAACTGCACTTTCCCTCACACTGTTTCTGAACTTTTTTTGGCTCTAAGGAAATCACAATATCAATCATCAACAACGGATAACGTAAGATACACTAAACTTATTTTTCCCCTTTTTATGTTAAACGCCAGTGTTAATGCAAGACCAATTCAACTTTTTCATGTTGTATGTGATTCATTAATCCTTGGAAATATTTTTTTCTTTTCATATTAAGTTTTGTAAGGTTTCGTAATAAGAACAAAATACTGATAACGAACAGCAATCAACATAAAAACGGAAATCCAACCACTACCAATTTTGCTGTCTTGTTGTAGTGCGTATTTTATTGTGATTGTTTTAATTAAAGCTATTGCATAAACCTATATGTATTGTCTGTGATTATAACAAATAGATATACACAGATCGCAACATAAAACTAATCAATATTGCAACACTGTAGTACTTCGAAGTTTACTGTTTAATTTTACTGTTTGATTATGTACATTAGCACTCGGCGAATCTGCTTATCAATTCCTGAACTGTCACTTCAATTAAAGACAATTAACACTGATTTATAATTCGCAAAACTGTCATCCTTTCTCTGTGTTTGTTAATCATTCTCACAAAAAAATGGGAAAACTACATAGAAATATCAATATGATGTATTTATTCAGATTAGTTGTATATTATGTATTTTAAATAAATTTACCCTTTGATACCAAACTGAAACACAATTGGATTTTTGCTAATAAGTAAAACCACGTATATGTAAAATATATGCTTTGCTATCTGATTTTCTGTAAAAAGAAATCACCGTCTATTACTTCGAATAATAAAAACCTTAAGTCTGAGCTCACTTTCAAACGCCATGACTAATGGGGTCCGTGTTAAAGGCCACCAATTTTTACTATTAAAAAATCAGAATGGTCCAGCAATTTCCATTCGCAGACACTAGCCCCATTGGAGCTGGCAGATGTTTAGACAAGATTTTATAAATTGTTCAATATCGCCTCATAATGAACCCCAACTGACCGTTCTAAACTAAGCTAAAAACATCCAGGATCACTCCCGCTGGGATCTAATAATGCTCTCACCCTATAACATTATTAATCATTGTGTAAAATATATGAGGGCCTAGAAAATATGTGTATGATTGATTAAAGTACAATCAAAGGCACAGTTAACCTTTCTTGAGAGTAGAATTTTGAGTTAATATAATGCCTTAAAGAGTAGAGAAAATGTAATTATATCTGAAAACGTACCATTGTTAATTCGATCATAAAGTCAATCTTATAAAGCCTAGTTACATCCAGTATTAATCTGTCGTGTCAGTTATATTTAATTTTTATATACATTTTGCTTTTTAACAAAAAAGTATAAACGAAACACCGTTTAGGCACACATTAATTACTACATTTCAATCGACAGCAGCGACATGAATTTATTCTGCTATAAATAATGGATTGCACAACTTTGTCTTTACAGACTAGCCCGTTTTATTTACAATCAAAGATATAAATTAGTAAAAGTATTCTTGTTAACAACCAACAAAGATTGTGTAACTTGCCATTACGTTTCAAATAAAAACCAGTCATAATTTATTTACAAAACAATGTTCAGTTTCCATTGCAATACAACTTGCATAAATTATAGGCTTTTCGCCGTCATTACAAAAATAAATATCAAATGTTTTCCACTTTTTAAGAGTACTCAAGTTCGTCAGTCACATTTCTTCTACATTATACATCTTTTACAAATAGGTTTTACAGTAATTCTTTTCACACCTATAGTATACAATATACCGTGGCAATGAGCAATAAAGGGATCCTGAGAAATAACTTTTTTCAAAGTCACATACATTGGGAAAAAAAAAACTACTTTACAAACAAATGCACATATGTTCAAAATAAATAACTGATTAAAATCTGTTGAATTAAAGTATAGTGCGCTGTTGTCTTCTTTTATACAGTGGCACAAGATGTGATCCCGAATTACATAATTGGTTTCATATAACAGAGGATTGAGGAATGATGGCTTGCCCGCTTTTTTTCTAAGCAATTGTGACACCTACCTGTGAACCAAGGAAATAAAAACCCAAATCAGCCAAAAGGACCCAGAACTGCACATGAGAATCGTTTCATCCTAACAATCTTGTAAATTCGTATTGCATTTTCTCAGTCGTTGTACTTATGATGACCTACAACACGCACGAATTAGCAAAGGATGATATTATTTGCCTACGCAAATTAAATAGTAGCAGCGATAATAGTAATGATAATAGTTATTACTATTGTAGTTGGATATTTTATAGTGTAAGAACACAAAAGAAAAATCATTAAACTGCTACTACTTTACAATGTAATTCACATGTACTGTTACGTTCTAAAAAAAGAACTTACGTGTGTTATGTTCTTATTGCCCTGATAGGTATGGTTGGGCTCCTACTGTGCACACTTCAGTGGTGTCTGTCAAAACAACAACCCCCATTTAGACAAAGCACAATCATTTCAATTCCTCTAATTCCGATTTTTCACTAAGAACAAATTACGTTAGTTTTTTTTTTACATTCTTCAAGCATTAACTTACAGCAATAGCTTACACCATGCACTGGCGGTGTTCCGCACGACTTTAAGCTTCTTAGTTTGACTTTTTTACCTTAATAAATGAATTCCTTATATACAATAAAATCTGAGTTTTAAATGTGCATTTTCGTTAATTAGGCTACCGTAAATCATCTTATTACTGTGGTATATTTTAGTACAATATCAGTTTCACTCAAAATTATGTTTCATGTTAACTGTAATTGACCGAATCTTAGCAACAACTGCGATTTCAACTTTATTAGACAAAAATAACAATACCTCGTAATAATAATGCATCTCTATCGTATTCTGAAACCTACTGACGTATTCGAAACCTAATTAGGATAATTAAAAGTTCGTTTCTCTACCTACCTTTCTTGGACTCTAAATTAGTGGGCCTGAAGTGTTGTTCAAGTTGGTTTGGGATATTTTTTGTAAGAGAGTCATTGCTCTGTTTGTGAATAGAGGCTGTATTTAGTACAGTCTGATTGAGCCCCTCATTAGCAGCCACCGCAGAAGAATTATACCTCAAGATCCCCTGGTTTTGCAAAGGGCTGAAGTTGCCATAGTTTGTATAATTACTATAAAAAGGAGAAGTGTAATAAATTGGCCTTCCTAAGATGGAAGACGCTGGGTAAACAGTGCTGTTTGAAGACGTTGACGCAGGCGTTGATGACAGCACGCTTGGGGGACAGTTTTGCCCCAAGTGCTGTTTTTGGTCCGAGGTGGCTATTTCTGCTAATGACCACAGTTTAGGTTTAATGGTCTGAGTTTGTGGCCCTGAAGAAATTCTGCTGTCCAAACTAGTTTTGTTGTTGCTTCTGGACGTGTCTTCGTGGTGGTGGTGATTAAGAAGTGGGGCTTCTATCCCGGTTAGTGGCGATGTTGTCACAGGCTTAGGTGAGAGGCCTCGTTCCCGTTCTTCATTTTCTATGTCATTATCATCATCTTCACATTTGTCCTTGGTATCTGATCCAGACTCGCAAACGACGTCCCCAATTCTGCAACTGATTCTTTCTCCGTCAGATTCCGCTGAGCAAGAATGATCAGTGAGTGTGTCAACGTGTAAGCTAATACCTGAAATAAAGGGAATGTTTATATTTTATTAAAATCATAAGAAACGTTGATTATTGTAAATGAAAATGAACTCTTAAACTGCGTTCAGAACCTGAGGTGTTCATAAACAATGTAGATATTAAATAACAATAGTCAGCTGTGTTATGCGAAGTATCTACAGAACTCATCATATATTTGAACAAAACTTCTATTGGCGGATAATGGAAAATGTTAACTGAAGTGCGAAAATTAAATTTGGAGATACAGTAGAACATTAAATTATCGATAATGTAACAAAAAGCTTCAGGTGTAAAGATATCAACATAAAATCTATAAAATATTAATCGGTTCACGTCTTCTTATCCCTATCTTTAACAAGAACTGTGATCCAGACTTACCTTCATCTTCCGCTGAAGTTTCGCTGTTGTCGTGGTTCTTTTCTGAATGATCGTCTTTCCTTTCCCCGTCCCCATCTTCTTCGTCCTCGTCTTCGCTTTTATTTCGAGGAGCCCAGGTCATTTTATTTTCCTTCTTCAGTCTCCTCCTGGCATTAGCGAACCAGGTGGAGACTTGTGTGAGGGTCATTTTGGTGATAATGGCGAGCATGATCTTCTCTCCTTTGGTCGGGTAGGGATTTTTCCTGTGTTCCTGAAGCCAAGCTTTCAGGGTGGCTGTAGCGTCTCTCGTTGCATTCTTTCGGTAAGCTGGATCATTCAGCTGGTAAGGGTATCCTGGGTTCCCATAAGGATGATAACTAATCGCCCCTGCCATTCCGGTTGTGTGAGCATCGTACGGGGAACCCTTGAAGATAATAAAACAAAACAAAAACGTGTCATAATTGTATGCGTTAAAATGTGTATCACTTTATTACGGATAACTGAAAAAAATGTTGTTGAAATATCAGACATGAATACCACACATTAGTTTATATTTATGAGCTACGACTGGTTATTTTAATGGACTTCATAGCCATTAATCATTATTGTGAAAAGATGAAAATATATGGTTCCTGAGAGTTACGTTTTGATGCATTCTCAAAAGTGTTTTGTCTTTTATATACACAGAAAATAGCGGCTTTTCTTAGCATATGACTGCACTAATGCATTACAAATCCAATTTGCAAATCAGTAGACATGCACCTTTTCAAATCCTTCAAGCGCCATTGCATTAGCATTTTAATTCACCTTTTCACGTTTAAATTGGAATGATTTAACTTTGCATAATCCCGAAGAGTTTAAAACGCTATTAAAATAACTTTATTAAAACCGTTTTTCTCAAAAGCGGAGAATTACTTTACATCTCCGGGTTTCCAATCATATTAAAAAGTGTTTTAAAAGAAAAACACATTTATATGATATATATATATACTTAATGACAGATCAGTTCGTGGCATGTTTGCTTATGGTCAGGCCTACATAACTGCAGTTGTCTTCAGTATTTAGTGATATAAATGCAAAGATTTCAATACAGTTAGCATTACATTATGTGTATTTTGTATTGTTAATCCCATCCCTCTGAAAAGATGACTGGTTAATGATTTTGACAAGCACTTCAAAAGTAAATTAATGCGACCTTATTTTAAAAGTGGCACCAGTTTGTTGTTAATCCAACGTAAAGTCTCTGCTTTGATATAACAGCTATTTACACATCAATGAAAGTAATACTAAACAACAGGCCTTTGTGATATTCATATTACTAATTATCTTTATTAAAAATATGACTCTTTAAAAATATTGACTTTTCAAACGTCACTAGGACTTAGAAGATAAAACCTCTTACACACAGATTTATACGATTGTCAATACATCATATCCTGATTTAACTGTGATACACTAATCGCACTGCAGTTCAATGTAACATTTCCTCACCATTACAATAAAGACAAGGAATACATTTTACCATGTATGAAGGGAATCCCGTAGCCGGGTCCGTAGTATACTGCAATGGACTTGTGAAGCCAGTTGCTGGAGCGGTAAAAGCTGCCGATCCTGGGTAGGGACTGAACGCTGAACCGGATGAAGACCTTGCCAGCTCCTCGCTCCTTGGGGCAGCCAGTGCTGACGCCCCGTAAGCTGGGCAAGAATAGAGAGCCAAAGAGCCCGGGGGCTGGTAGAGGTAACCCTGAGGATACGACATTGCTTTGTGTCTTTCTGTTTTTGTTTCCAAAAACAAAAAAAAAATAAAAAAAATCAAACGATATAAAAACAACCAGTGCGTAAAACAATCAACATTAAAAGCGAGGCAAATAAAATCACCCACAAAGATCAGCAAAGTGCATGCATGGAGGAAACGCTTGGATCCCCCAGCGCCCGATGTTTTTAGTACTAAGAACTATGAAGTGAAGAGTTGAAGGAAGGAGCAGCTGAGTTTCTGAGTGCATTGGAAAACAGGAGCTGTCACTCCAGCTCATCTAAATATTCCATCCCCGCCCCTCACCCTGTGAAATGGAACACGGCAACCAGACAGCGCTGAACAGCAGAGAAGGGAGTTGCGTAGGTTTGCTTCTGCTAAATAAGTATTCTTTTGCGATTAATATGTGGATTTTATTTTTAAATAGTAAACAATTCTCTCATCGCAGAATGACATACCAGTTATTCAAACCGGAGATCCATTTTTAAAGCCTAAAAATGTTTTAAAGCCTAAGTGTTTTAAAAATGGAAAAAGCAGCTAAGTAGAAATACCTTTATTTATACTGGAGTTGCATATGTTTTAACGCCATTTATTTACTCTCATGTTTCTATTGTCAGTTTTGAAAATGTAATCACAGCTCACCAATTTCTGTTTGTAGCGCTGTAGTTTGCTTTTATTCTCTTCATGTTTTTATTCTTGCTTTATTGATGTAAAGGTTGTAATCAGAAAAAGAACAGCAAAATTATTGTTTTTGTTACTTTTAGTTATAATAGACCTATATGGTGTAAAGTTTCCCCATTTCTACGAGAACAACGACAACGACACAATAATAAAGACAATACACAAATAAATGAATATAGACTCGGTTATCTAGTTTATAATGATTTATAATAAGGCATGGTGTTATTAAATATTCAGAATATTACAGTTTTATGGTGATTTAATTTAAGCGCATACTGTATGTAAGCTACACGTAAGCTTAACCGCATAAAAAAAACATCTGTATAAATTATTTCAGAATTCATTGAAGACAATTTACGAAAATTACAAGTGCAAGCATGTCAGGAGTGCTGTACACCTGCAGTGTGTCAGCACTGCACCGAGCAGCCTGTGGGAGGTGTAAGCATTTTCAACCATTGCCCCTTATTTCTCCCGAATTTATATTGCCCACCTCGGGATTATATACTCCGGAGCACTTGCAAAACAAAACTGTAAAAAAAAAAAAATTACCGTATAATAAAGTCCATCGAAATTTCTCTTCACTACGAATCAGTTTTAGTGTTTTTTGATGGAAAAGTTGTTACAAAAAAGCTTTGGATTGCTTTTCCCAAAGTCATTAAAGGGAGCTCATGTCATCATCATAATCATCAGCATCAACAACAATGTTGTTGTTTGTCGTTATTTTGTAAGTAAACATACATATACAATGGCAGGCTAACACCTACAGTAATTATTCAATTTTCCCGTGCATTCTATAGTGTAGATTTCTTCCAGATAACAAGATAAAGTACACATCTGAAATCAGTCAGTTTTTGTCTTTAGGTAAAAATGTTGAACTTTTAATTGTAAAGTGTTTTTTAGGTATTTTGGTAGATTTTTTTTAAAACACACATTGCGATGAAAAGGTCAATCTGTTGAAATTGTATTAGTGAGGAACATTATATGTGTATGCCATACGACAACTTTGAAAATAACTACTTTTACAATAATTTATAACAATTGGAACACAAATATATTGTTTTTTATGCACAACGTAAGGTTAAAAGTGTTATTTATTTACTTTGAAATGGATGTATTTTTAAACAAAAACATACAATCCCTTTCTCCACCACCTGGGCACTGCGGGAGCGACAGTTGCTAATCACCATGAGTTGTTTTGAATTTGTAGTTTATAGCCTACACTGTTAATAAAGTTAACGACAGTTTTTAAGACAAATTTTCTTTTGAGGGTAATTCCTTGTTATAATGAGAAACATTGTTTTCATCCCAATACATATACATTTTTAAATAACCACAAACTTTGTAAAAATCCCAGATGTGTACATGAATATTTAAGTTCTGTATTTAAGATCGATAAAAAAATTATACACACACAATTTTAAAATTAATTTTAATCAGGAGTGGACTTTAAATACGATGTGGACTATAAGCAGCTAGTTGCTACTGTTTTGCCCTTAAAGGTCCACTCAGAAAAACCGAAAGCATATTTAAGATGGGAAGTGAGCTGTGCTTTTCCCTTGTGGTTATATTCTTGTCTTGTAAATCTGTGCATTTAGAAGCACATTTTCTGATTAATGTTGAGTCGATAAAGAGGTTATACATTTACTGATTGTGACAGGGGGCGCTATATGTAATTAATATAAAAATGGAATATTAAACTTTGGAGAAAAGCTGTTTTCAGATAAAATAACAAGTGCTACTGATTACATTTTGTATTATTAAAGTTAGTCATGTTACAGTTTTTGTGTTTAATTAGACCTTTTACCGAATGCTTAACAATGCGCAGCTGTAATAATGATGATGACAATAATACTAACCTACTCAATCATTTCTTATTGTTCAAGGAATATCCGATTACTTTGAAAAACTACTTTTTGCGTAGTCTAAAAAGCTCCTAAAATAACTACACAGAAATAATCTAACATTTTGAAAACTGAAAAACTATAACAACAAAACCATTTCACATCGTATTTTAGCATCGGGTTATAACCTGCTCGCGTTTGTTTCAGAAAACTATGTTCTGACACAACGCATCCTGGCAGATAATTAATATTATTAAGTGTAGGCTGTTGAAAAAAAAAGTCTTCTACGTGTTATGATGTAAGTTATTCCAAAAGTACAAATAGTTTAAGTTACCTCAAACAATGATATTAAAATAGTGGTGCAAGAAGACGCACAAAAGGTTTGAACGTGGGCGAGATATTTCGGATATCAATTATCTTCTTTTGTTATACTCACAAAATTCCCCGTTGTACTGGATTATCTTATCACTATTTTTCTGCCAATGAATACCTAACGTGTTTTTAAATGCATATAAACATCAGCTCAAGAACGTAGCAGTGATGAACTCAATTTATTACATTTTTTTCAGTCATTAATATCTGCTGTAATACACCATTAATCTCGATTTGCGGTGTTATTACCTGCAATCGTTTGCTACATCGTTTAAAACCTGTTAACTGTATGATAATGTTTTCAATTAAAAAACAGACATCTCGATCTTATTCTTCATGGAAAAGCAATCAATCTATACCTTTGTTTACACTGCAACAAACTTTTTCCTACATCTGTAAAGCAAAAATACACCGAATATGAAGTTAAAGGCTGGATGTGTGTAAAAATGATTGCATTTCTTTAATTTTATATTGACCATCAGCAGTATTTTTACAACACTAAACCTTAAATTATTTTGTAAAGGCTCAGGCGCTTCATGTTTCATTCACATAAAAGAGAAAAAAAAGTATTTCTCCTATGATAGCAATCTTAAGATGTTAACTATATGTTACTCAATTTAAGATCGTCGCCCTCAAATTACTAAAGGTAAAATTAGCGGCTGCTTTTTAAAGCTTTTCATGCAACAGTGTCATCACATAGTATCACATTTCTAACTGGAAAGCCTGTATGTAAAGCGTTTACTGTTTTATTTGTATAAAGGTTAGAAGGCAAGCAGGTGCCCATGTAGACATTACCTAAATAAAAGACCTGTTCGGATCCCTAGGTACTGCAAACACCAGTAACTGAGGCTCAGCAGGGGGCACTCTCTCCTCTAAACTGGAGTTAGCTCTGCACACCAATATGGAGAAATCTAAGCTTTGGTTCCTAGTTAATGTTTTTAGACATAGCTAAAATGTGTTTTTTTTTTTTTCAAATAAACGAGTGTATAATTTTATGTATGCAAGCGATCTATACATACACTTAATGAAGATAAAATTCCCTAAAAGTAATTGCAGTGCTGATTCTATATTTTAACTATTCTGTATCGATTATGTATTCTTATTGTTACTGTATTTTTGAATGTACCCTTTTAATTATAAATTCGGCACAATTGTGTCACGTAAAACTATATTTATCTAGAGACAGGAAAAATAAGTTAAATGTACTGTATATGCATTTACAAACATATATACAGTATGTTTTCCAAAATGCAACATTAGAATGAATTAAGCATAATAATTTGTTTTCTTGTGCAACTGAACAATGTACTGTACAACGATTTTCATTGTTCTGCTTTGGCTTGGTTTTCTCTGAAGAAAAGGAGGTGTGAATTATTTAACAAAAATATATAAAAATTACTATAAATATCAATATTAGCTAGATACTTTACCAGTTTACCAATATAACCAGTTAATATCTGAAGATATCAAGATAAGATAAAGATTAATTTGGCATGTCCATTGAAATGTATTCTTAATTAACCAAAAACAGGTTTCTCATTTATAAAAGTTTATAAAACATTTATTTCATAAACACACCATTTTTCAGCACTCAAAGTTCACTCACTCAATGGCAATGGAAAACTGAGAGAAAGTTACACATTTACTAATGTTTTTTTTCTTGTGCTGACTTAATTCTCATGAGAAATATTTTTGTTTATGCATTTCAGAAAATGTACTCTAAGTACATAATAGTTTGCTAGAAACACATGAGATCTTACCTCTCAAGTGGAAACTGACACCTAGTAGTAATAATTATTTTTTTTGGAGACTTATGCAAATTTAATATATTGCTGCGTACCATGTTTTAAGATGTAGGTGGATCATAAATATCACGTTTTTATATTAAAGGATTTATTGTAGAAGAGACTCCCACAGTCTAAATTGAGTAAGAAGAACAAAAAGAAGAAGCTAGTTTTATAATCTGTCCAGTACCACTAAGATGTAATTGAAAACGCATCCTGTTGAATGGACCACTGTTGACACACTTTACCAAGATATTTATATTAGCCCTCTTAATTCTCTACATTTATATAAAAGATTGCAAAATGATTTATTAAATCATTTTAAAAAACAAATCAGAACATAGATTTGAATGATAAATTTAACTTGTTAGATGCACAGTGTGAATGGGAACTTATTAACTATTTTGTACAATGTCTTGTTGAGAATAATCAACTAAGTGAGTAGTGCCACTTCTTCCCTGGAAAGTCTGCTCCAGACAAACATGCACATGCACAAATAAATGTAGGACTGTGTGTAAGAAGACTGCTTAGCTTCAGAAAAAGTGT